GATTAGAAAGTGAAACTTTCGATAGCATTAGCTCTCTCAGTATCTAAATTGAAGTTTGCATTCAATCTATCATTCCCCACATAAAATGCACGTCATGAAGATGTATCATTTTAAGCTGAGATTCCTGTGCAGATGAAGCAAGCGTCGAGGGATTCAACAGATGATATTGTATCGAAAGTATGGAGTTTTTGTAAAAATTCATCTAAACTTTGGAGTTGGATACAATCTTGATCTCCTGTCATCCCCGCTGATTGAGTGCCTATAATATTGCGATGCCTTCTGCTTATGCAGGGCTCTCCCCTATATATTGGAGTTATTCGAATTGAAGTTTGCTTTTGTGCCACTATTTTCAAATAACTAGCATAATTTTTATTAATAGTGAGTATAAACTTATATACATAAAAATAGATTACAAAATATGATAATTATATAATTTTTTTCGATCAATAATAATTATAAAATATACTTCTAAATTATTTCATGATGTAGAAGATTATATTGAGATCGTAATCCTCATTATTTGATAGAATCATATTAATATATTATAATAATTTTTATGATTTAAAATCATAATGGCATATTATCAAAATATTTAGAGAATCATGATAATCTTATCATGATTTATTTTTTTAATAATATCCTATCTAACAAAATGCAGGTTGTGAAGGAGCTTGCAGAGTGACTGTTGCACTACTTAGCATCACAGCGACTGTCGACATACTAGGCCTGGCAAACGGGTTTTCCTGCACACACAATAGCCCAATCTGCATACATCTTAACAGGTCGCTCCCATGGAATTGATTGCCCAAGGCTGGATCTACCATCTCCAAGGCTGATCCTCCTCGCCATTTCTCCCATGTCTGCATCAAATAAAACATATCTACAAGTTCATTCTCTGTTTCGAAACGACTTCCGTGCAAATGCAAAAGCAATCAATATCTGCACTCTACGACCCCACTTGGTTACTTACATAGCTTAGAAGGTCTTCAGTATTTTCAGGATTACAAGCTGTGCTGTTTTTTCTTCCCGTCAAAATCTCCAAAACCAGAACACCGAAGCTGAACACATCTGACTTGATCGAAAATTGGCCATGGATCACATACTCTGGTGCCATGTATCCACTGCAACCAAGTGAAGATTAGTTAGGAAGCACAAATTATAGATACTGCATGCTGCGAGTACACTAGTCCAGTCTGTCAGGCCACTCACAAGGTTCCCACAACTCGACTCGTCATGCCCTGAGTTTGCTCGCCATCGAAAAGCTTAGCTGAACCGAAATCTGAGATCTTTGGGTTCATATCTGCATCCAACAAGATATTGCAGGCCTTTAGATCTCGATGTATGATTTTTAGCTGAGATTCCTCGTGCAGATAAAGCAGGCCCCTAGCGATCCCACAAATGATCTTGTATCGAATTCCCCAAGTTAGTTGTTCGCCTCTTGCAGGATTTGTTGCATGAAAAAGGAATTAAGACGAGGAGAAGACGAGTAATGGATAGCTGCAGTTCTTTTTTACCAATTAGCTGCAGATAAGTAACACAGAAAACGAGTAATATGTGAAAGGCGAATCACCAAAAAGAAATTTGTCGAGGCTCGTGTTAGGCACGTATTCATAGACGATCATCTTCTCTTCCTCCAAGCAAACTCCCAGAAGCTTTACGAGATTCCGGTGCTGGAGCTTGGCAACCAAAGCCAACTCATTTTTAAGCTCTCCAAGTCCTTGCCCAGAGTTCAACAGCCGCTTCACTGCTATTACTCGTCCATCTGGTAGCACTCCCTGTACAATGCCTCATGATCAAGAGGGAGAATGGAACAAGAGGATGCATGCCAAGTGAATTCGAGAACCGAATTGGAAATATGAAGAGCGTATCGTGTCGATATACCTTGTAAACAGCTCCGAAACCACCTTCACCAAGTTTATTTTCCTCTGAGAAGTTGACTGTTGCAACTCGTAGTGTCGATAGATCAAATAGTAGTGATTCGACTTGTGTGGCCTCCTCCGAGTCAGTTGCATCTATGACAAAGCAGACAATTCCAAGCATGTCACAAATTGTTTTCCTCGAGAGCTAGCCGATTGCAATGGAGGAGAGAGGAAATCAGGAATAATACAGTCCCTTACAAGGTGGCTGCCGTGTCTGCTTCCTCAATCTCTTGAAGAAAGCGTAAATAATGGAGATTAGCAGCACCGCACTCACTGCATATATCGAAATTGCAAGAATTGTTTTCTTTTTTCCTGAACCGTGATGAAGTGTATTAGTAGACACAAAAAAGGAAAAAAATGGTTTATCCATATCTGATTTTGAAATCATTGGACATATGAGGTATTTGACCGATAGCTCATGGTTCAACCCATAGTGGGCTTGAACAATCCACAGCTCATCTCCTTTCTTAATCTAATCCTAATTCATATTAGGGAGGTATATGGTGGTTGCGAAAATAGATAGAAAAAGGGCAACAACAAGGGTGAATTGTGCAGCCACATGATTTCAAAGAAAAGGATGAGAACAAGACAGAAAAACAAAAGAAATAAAGAAAAGAGGATAAGAACAACGCAAAGAAATTATTCTTAATCATATAGTAGTGTTTTCATCTTAGGTTAGATCAGATCTATAGTAAATTCTTGCTGTGATTACTTGGAGAGAATTTAGATATTGTGAACAATGACATAATTCTTGTATCCTAGTTATTCTCTTGTGATTGTTACTAGGGTTTTGAAAGATTGAGATTTGTATATTCATTATTCTTATAGTAGATTATCTCCAGTTTACCATGTAGTTTTTACCTTTTGAAGAAATTTTTTTGCGTATATCTTGATATTCTATTTAATTTCATTACATGTTATGATATTCGTTTATATATAAAAATTTATTTTACTTTATATCTCGCCACGAGCAACTTTATTTCACTTTATATTCGTTTATATAAAAATGTTATGTTATGTTAGGAACACATATGACTGTAAATGTCTTCCGTGTCTTTGTCGACAAACTCCTCTGTGGTACCTAATCTTTGACCCAAAGGACAACTTCTGCACTTTATTCCCTGCGCGTACAACTTTTACTTTGCCCATCATCTATTTCCCTACATATTCCAATATGTTCTGTATACATCGTAACAGTGTCGCAGTTTTATGTATATGGCTATCTATGCATATTTCAGTTAATTTTATGTATCACAGTAGTACAAATCCATGAATAACTTTTATATGCTCAAAGATGCTGTTTGCATAAAAGAACAATTACTTATGTATAACA